GGTGTAAAGGCAGAGGTCCAGAGAGAGCCATTCTTGAAGTAATAAGCGATGTAGTTGACCCTGGATGCAGGCTGAGTGGTGTAGAGCAGCAGTGGAAGGATGGTAGTGATTCCTTGGTCTGATGATGATATACCAGCGCTGCTTGGTCCACAGCCAGAGATGTAATGATCCTGGGTCTTGGTATCCATGACATGGATGTTTTTGATCTCACTGCAGAAGAGAAAACAGTTTGTTTTGTTTATTTTTAATACAATTGATCATTGTTGTGATTTCGGTGAGTTCCATGAAATTTTGAGAGAAATCATAACTGTATAAGATATCACTTTGCATGCAACACAACATCTCAATATTGTTTTTGAAGTTTTCTCGGAAAAGACCCCTTAAACTGTGTCACTAATCAATTGGTTGCAGTGTCCAACCGTAACTAAAAATTCATGTTATGACAAATTCGTTAGTTACTGCCAAGTAATTTACTGAATTATGCAGTATTATTGAAAAAAACACACTTTGAATGATAACTCCCTTGCACAGTGTTACATATGCATAACTCACGGATGAGATTGGAAGAAAAAGAAATATCCATGAAAAAATAACCAGGGGTTTTGAGAGCCCTTCACGGAGGGTGTGGGGTATACATTTGTATATGCTTTGAAAAATCCTGAATTCGATAAAAATGCAAGCAAATCTTACCACTGAGTTAATGAGCTGGTTGCAAATTCAATTCAAGTTGAAATCCTTGCAATGGCATATTCTTTAGTTGTGTCTCAGCACATAATTCTGAAATAAAATATGTTTCAGTATTTCGTTTCTAAAGGAAACATCCACAAAGTTAAGAACAAACTCACTTATCACATGCCCTGTTGATGATTCCTCGCAGGCAGGCTCCGATGTTGGAAGATGGAAGCAGCCTGGAGTTGAATTCACCACCCATTGATGGGTATTTTGTCTCCACGGCGACAAGCTTACCGATGGAGCGAGGTGTTGTCAAAGTCCTCTGTTCTGATTTCTGTCCTAGAATCAGGTCAAAAGACAACCTGCAGAAAAGTGTACAACCAACAATAGGAATTAAGTTGGGTTGCTGTTCAGACAGACCACACCACAGAATACCACATTTGAGAGAGAGTGACTTTTTGGCCTTTATATAGTAATCAACTCACCAGTCGCTGAAGCCAATTGTTCCTTGGAGTCTCACAAGACGTGGGTTTTTGTTTGCACCTGGTGATTTGTGCAGTGAACACCAACGCAGGAATGAACCCCAACGTGAACGGCCAGCATAGTCTACGTCAATGACGTAGGCGCGTTCCTTTCTGGCCCTATTCCCCCGGATGTGGCAGGGAGATGGTGGGCTGGAACGTTTGCTCTGAGACAAAGAAAGGAACCACACATTTTTTGATGAGAAAGGAAATAAAGATGTGGAAAGATAACTTCGCAATAATGTTGGGAGAGAAACAAATCGAACATTACCAAGCTATGATTCCTACCTTGTGCTTGCATG